TCTCCAGATATAACATGCTGTTTTCATAAATTATGAAGGAATGTTTTAAAGTGATGAGACAGTTTACTAATAAAAATATAATATTTTCTTAATGCATAGTGTTTCAGTTCAACAGAGCAATCTAAATGATAAATCATATTCTCTATACCATAGAAATGGCCAAATTTGTCTTTCTTAAGCTAAAATTATGTTTCACAATTTTCCTCAGGGCAAAAGAAGGATGTAATTTTAATCCGTTCTGATTGATCACCATAAATCGATAATTTGAAAATGTACCCAGCAAATAAAATAAATACTTTATATTAATAAATTAATACATTATATTATATGTTAATGGCATTGCTACTCCAGGAGATGTGATGTTAGAATTGGACAACGATGAGATATTTAAGCAACGCAGTCAAATGTTCTGAACAGTATAAATTAGCAGTTGAGATAATACCAGAATTAGAAAGGAAAAAATATATACCATGTAGAAAGCAAACCACAAAGTATATAACAGCTGGTGCTCTCCAGATACATCCTGACTAACAGTTGCAAAATATGCAGCTAGGTCAGCCACCGGTCACAAATATTGGAAGTTACTAAAGGGTGAAAATATATCTGATAGGCTTAAGGAAGAAAAGGCTGAGAGACAACTTTGCAGCTGAATCAATGCACAGTACCTGGTGAGATGTTCTAAATAGTCTGCTCACCTTCCATGACATTTGACGAAGGAATTTCTGTCTCCTTCCTGACCTTTGCTGGCCTTGGAAAGAGTACAGAACACGCAAAGCATGCGCGATTGCATAGACAGCATTATAAATACTGTAGCTGTGGGCAGTCATGCTCATTTCAAAGACAGTCATAGGGAGAGTCTCTAGTTTCTCCTCCCCAGTGCAGATATTCTCATCCTCTTCATCGAGAGGAGAGGTTGGGAGCAAACAATTAAATGTCTGTTGCCAGAATTGGGTTAAAAAACTGTCTCCTTTATCCAAAGCGGGATTTCTCATCTGAACAAAATGTTGGAATCCTAATACCTCCATTGATTGTACTGAAAGGGACAGAGTTCCATGAATGAAATTAACATCCCAACTCCTTTGGAAGTGAACCGATGAGAAATCTACATCTGCTGTCATAACCCAGACTTTTGTATCATAATCCACATTATTAAATTCCAAGGCGTTGAGTAAAAACCTTAAATTTAACATACTCTGAAATTCGCCATGCAGCAGCACTTTATTAGTTGTACTATTGAAGACAGTGTTGAAAGTTGCATATGATTTGCGAATAGTTTTTTCGTCCTGAGTGAGAAATCCACCTGGTATTTTTTCTATAAATTCAAAACAGACACCTTTTTTGGAAAACGTGGGGAAAACAATCCTCCACAAAATCTCTGCTGTGTTGCCGATATCAAGGTAAAATACCCCAATCCAGGTCCAACCAAAATGCAGAAAGAGCTGGAGAAGTCCTTTGTACTGACGGATTGCATTTGGGAGCATCCAGTAAAAGAACCCAGATTGGGTTTGGGCCTTGGTTTCTAGAGTAGAGCTATATGCAACCTAAATGAAACAAAGAAATGGGAAATGTAAATAGTTAGGTCCACTGGGAATTTTGACTCTTTTTTTTTTTTTTTATTAGTATCCTTGCTACATTTAGACCTTCAAGTGAGATCATCCAATAATGGTATTTTATGTCTCCAAAATGTACAATAAAAGTAATGATAGATTACTAGGATTAACAGACTTAAAAACTAGCCCTGCATTTTCACCAAAGTACTTACCTGGACAAACTTGTAGTGAGTCAGGATGGTGGCCATATCAAGAAAAGCAACAGAACTTGGTCCTCCTATAACTGCTATCAGATTATTCTGGAGACTACATTTGTAGTTAGGGATGAATCTACCATCTGGATTAGAGAGGAGTTCCATTGTAGCTGCGTAAGTATATCTTGGACTAAAATAGTCATTATAGATGTTGAAGCCTAGGGTGATGTTGGGTAAGATGAGGGGTCTTTCATTAATCTCTTTCACAGCAAATGCCAAGGCTAAAATGTGTTGGTAGGTCTGAGTCAGTAATCTGGAAAAAAATTGGAAAATTACTGTATTCTCTTTGGAATTGCAGAACCTTTCATAAGGAGAAGTTCTTCTCTCATATGTTGATAAGGCATAATAAGCATATGAGTAGTGAAGGATTGGAATATATTTTTAAAAAAGGAAACGGGAAAAAAGTTTCGTGTAATTGTAAAATACGCAGCTACTTACAAGTGGTCTGAAAGTATGTCCTGGAATGGGTGTCTTTTGAATTCCGTTATGTCAAAAAAAGGGAAGGTCTGGGAGAGGATGCCACCAATGATCTGGTCTCCTGGCTGATAATATTTATGAAGGATACTAATGGGCTGGGTCCTGGGGCATTTTGACACTGGAACCCTACTGACACTCTTAGGAAGAGGCACTAATACCAATAATCTGAATGTTATCATAATGACTGAAAATCTGCCTGTAAAAGAGCATTTGTCCATCTGGCCCATTAACGTTGAGGTACCCTAAGCCCAGGAAGCATCAGGCAAACCATCTCTTACTAGCCGTTAATACAGTCTCTCTCTGTAGCATCCCTATTTCTGAAGTGCCCAGGGGATATTTAAGCCTTCTTTCCTTTGATCTGTAGTGTCATTAACAGCCACTGAGCTCTTCATAGCCCCAAATCACTGGAGGCCAATTCACAATTCATAATTACAGGGTAGGTAATCATTCCTGGTTTGATTCAACAATTTCACAGAAGTGCAGAAAACGAAAAAAAATGCTCTTGAAAGCAACATAGGAAAGCAAGAAAATTTAAAGTATAGAAGGGTAGGTAGGAAGTCTCTTGAATTCAGATTTTGTTAGATGTTATGATTCATTACCTGACATCATAAAGTGGTAGTCTTTAAATCATTTCTCTGAGGAAGGAAAAGCATATGTATTTAGAGGACAGAGGAGCCAAGAAGTGGAACAAAGATTGCAGTGAGAAGAAATGCAAAATCTCAGTGTGTCTCTCTATGGTTTTTCATGCCAACTTTCTCTTATTGGTTCCCACTCACTCAAGTGTTTGCAGCAGAGGGCCTGAAACTTAGGCCTACTTATATAATACCCTTATTTCTTTGAGGATCTCCAGCCAAGAGTATCTAGAGACAAAGAAAGTATTTCCCTTTCTGAGTCCCACACCTGTCTCTCAGGTGAAGGGACAGTGTCTATAGTTATACAATCCTCAGAATCTTTGGCTTGCAAGCGACCGTTTCACTTCAGACTCACCCACTAACTGCAAGTCCCTATATATTGCCAAAAAATGAGCGCCAACCTGGTTGAAACTCCTCAGAAACTCAACAAAGTATAATACTAGAACTGAAGCTAGTTTTGACAGTTGATAGTCTCTAGCATTTAAGACTAATAACGATGATGATGTACTGTCAATTCAGTGTTGACTCTTAGCGGCTACAGAGAGAGAATTTCTCCATGATGATCTGTTACAAGCCTGGTCCTTCAGATCTTCCAGTGGTACACATCTGTGGCAAAATCGCTAGTATACAGAGAGGCAGGGAGCTGACTTGTAGGTAACAGCAAACAAAGGCATGACTCCAACAATATAGAAAACCTGCTGCATTTTATTGTTCCAGATCCTTAAACATTCAAAGTCAGGGGTTTGAAATAGACAAAGACAGTCTCTTTCGAGTGTCAGCAGCCCAATCCAAGATCTTAAAAATTCTCAAAATAAAATGTCAAACCAAGGTAAATAAATGGCAGCAGTTTGAGGCTTATTATCCTCCTTCACACAGCAGACTCACTGGGCGTCCCAGCCCCAGCAAACAGGCAAGTCCCTACTTGTGAAGGCTTTGGTGCCTTCCTTTCCTCACATAATAAATGCCAATAGAGGAACCAGCTCTATTGAGAGCCTGATATAAGAGCCAGGTCCCAACCAGGCAGCATAGATGGGTGGGGGAGTCTGTTTCTACAGGCCTTGATAAGCATAATTTCCAGCACTTCCTCTGTAGGCTGCTCTTTGTCATCAGTCTCTGGTATCTGCAGTCCCCCTCCCCTCCCCTCCCCTCCCCTCCC